AGAGAGAGAGAGAGAGAGAGAGAGAGAGAGAGAGAGAGAGAGAGAGAGAGAGAGAGAGAGAGAAACACAGAGAGAGAGAGAGAGAGAAACACAGAGAGAGAGAGAGAGAGGTAGGTGGTGAGAGGTGGGGACACGTACGGTGAAACGTCGAAAAAGTTGATGCCAGCTTCAATGGCGTCCCTGACAGACTGAATGACATCCTTCTCGTTGACGTCACCATATACTCCTCCTAGAGGTGAGGCTCCATATCCGAGGATCGAGACCTCCATCCCCGTCTTCCCTAGTGCCCTCCTGGGGACCACCATAGCTCGCTCCGCAGCTTCCTCCGCACCGACTTCTGTCCCCCCTGCAGCAGCAGCATTCTCCTGCCCTCCATCTCTCGCGGGCTGGCTGCTCGCCTCCATCCCTGTGCACAGCTTGGGCCACAGCTCGTCTTCCGCGATACACGCGCCGCCGCTTTGTCCAGACAACGACCTCTCGCACGACCGGTCCGACGATCTCCCCGGTGCCTCGAGCTCTTGATGCCCTCCCGCTGTCAGTGCCATTGCCCAGTAGACGTACACCACAGCGGCCCCCAAGAGACAGAAACATACACGTGTCATCGGAAGAAGACGTGTCATCGCCAATCACAGGGAGACATTGGCATCCGTGTCGACAAGACGCTTTCTGCTACTGCAGCACGACTGCAAGGATGCAAAACGTCCGTTCAGCAGCCCCACGGCTGGAAAGTTAAGGTAGAAAAATGGAAGAAAAACAGGAAGAAGAACAAAGAAGAAGAACAAAAAAAATGAGGAGGAGAAAAAGCAGGAAGAAAGAAAGAAAGGAAGAAAGGAAAGCAATGGCCATTGGCCAACACTTGCTAAAACGAACGCACATGCCCCGCCGGGCGCTGTTGCAGAATATAGATGGAATTTAGAATAGATAAGACCCCATAAACAGCCACGTGGCAATATCTCTCGTCACTCGGTACGCGCCTGCCTTCTTGCGTGTCACTCTCCAACTAACCTGGTCCAGATACATAATTAACAACAAGTATTCCATTTCATTTCATTCATCGAATTTCATTCATCCAATTCCATTTCATTTCATTCATCCAATTCCATTTCATTTCATTCATCCAATTCCATTTCGTTTCATTCATCGACTTCCATGTCATTTCATTTTATTTCATTTCATTTCATTCATCCAGTTCCGGTGCGGACTCGAACTCCGGTCTGTATTTCAACAGTTCACGGGATCTAGTACCGTTCTGCAGCCGAAGAGAACGCCCGGTCATTATAGCCGTATCGGGTGCAATTTTCAGTCCAGGTACAGCTATCATGACCGAGCGTTCTATTCGGGTGAAGACGGGTAGCTACCGGTAGTAGTCCCGTCGGTTCTCCGATAACGATATCCCCAAGGTCGTGGCGCGATTCAAAAACAGAATTTTTGTAATTAAAAGGTCCCCGAGGTGTGCAGCCGACGTGGCGGATGCTGACGACGTCGCAGTCGTCAGTCAGGACAGACTACACTCATATACCAGGACCTCCTCCTCACGTGACTGGGCTCTGGAGGTGATTGACGCCTGGCCGTAATTGCGGTCAGATACATTCAGGAATGTGCTCCCGTCTTCGGACGGCCGTCCGGCCGTCCGGCCGGGCGAATAGAAGAACACACCCGGCCATTCACAATCGCTGTCTGTATCTGGACGGCAAGTTGGCCCCAATACAGATGACTCTAATGACCGGATGTGCTATTCGGATGAAGACGGGACGAAAGTGTGAATATGCCCTCCATCTCGTCATAATTCACCAAAAAAAAAAAAAAAAAAACAGGACCGCCCGATCGTAGGTAACGCTGAAGATCTTTTTTTTTCCCCTTCTTTCTTCTTTTTCTCTTAAAGCTGAAGCTCTTCGGTATTTACTGCCCTTCGCTACGACATCAGGAAGGGGATTAAACAAAGGGAAAGGGGAAAGGGGATCTGATCCCCCTCCCCTACGATTATATCTTCTTGTGTTACGTATCTACTCCCCCTTCTTCATCATGGCGGCAGGCAGCTACAGACTATGCCTTCACACGGTACAGACGAAACGGAAAGGAGGGGGATCAGATAACACAAGAAGATAATCGTAGGGGGGAGAAATAAACCAACCAAATCGTAGGGGGGAGAAATAAATCAACCAATCAAAAGAAGAAGAAGAAGAAGAAGAAGAAGAAGCCGTAATACCCCGACGAGCGGAAGTCGGCCAGAGATGAATAAGCAATGAAAACCAGCAGCCAATAGATGAAAGAAAAAGATATGCACGGGTGGATGGAGGTCTTTTTTTTTTTTTTGGGTCTTCTGAG